TCAAAATACCAAAGACAACACTTCATAGACTGAGGCAACAAGGCAGGCTAGGAACACACACCAGCACAAATTATCCAGCTCTAACAGAGAAGCACAAAGTGGCAAGACTGAAATGGGTCCTAAGTCACATAGATCGCATTCCAATAGAAGGGAACCCAAAATTCAGAGATATGCAACAGTGGATACATCTAGATGAAAAATGGTTATACATTAATCCAGAGACAAGAACTTTTTATTTGTTGCCTATAGAGGAAGATCCATACAGGGCACAACAATCAAGGAGATTCAAGATTAAAGCAATGTTCATGGGAATGATTGGGAAACCCTTGTTTGATGAGCAAAACAACATGGTACATGATGGGAAATATGGTCTATTTCCTTTTGTCAAGTATGAAATGGCCAAGAAGAAAAGCAAAAACAGAGATGCAGGGACTCTAGAGACAAAGGCACTTCAAAGTGTCACAAAAGACTGCATTAGGGACATGCTAATGACACATGTGATTCCAACTATCTATGAAAAGTGGCCAGAACAGCTACCTAAGGACATATTCATTCAATGGGATAATACAAGACCTCATTAAGTTCCTAAAGATGAAGAATTTCAGGCAGCTTGTCATGCACATGGATTCAACATCCAATTCATTTTCCAACCAGCTCAATCACCAGAAACAAATGTTTTAGATTTAGGTTTGTTTAGTGTCATTCAATCACTACAATACCAATCATTCCCAATGAATCTAGATGAGCTCATAAAGGAAGTTGCTAAAGCTTTTGAAGAGTTTGATCCAGTGTTGAACAAGTGCACATGGATCACACTCCAATCATGCTTCATTAAGATACTAGAGAAGCAAGGTGGGAACAACTTCTCTCAGCTCCCCCACACATGAAAAAGAGAAGTTTGGACAGTCAAGGTCTACTACCACAGTTACTAGAAGTTGACAGGAATCTCATCGGTGAAGTTGTTCATTATTTAGATTCAGTGACAGTAATTGGTGATGATCAAGGACACATGGAAGTGGATGCAGACTGAAGAAAATGAAGAGAACAATGCAAATGGAATAGGGACTCAACACATGACTGCCACACTTAACCTTTTAATATTCTAACAACTTTTTGAGTGAGTTTATGCCTAGGTTATGTGTCCTTTTGGTAAATACATGGTACACAATTATTAGGCAGTCATGTAAACTTTTTAGTGTTAATCTTTTGTTTAGTGAAATATGTAATCAGCCCACACAATGAAATGTTTTGTAACTAATGTTTCCATCAGAATGGGTGTTTTTTCAGTCAAAGCTTTAGTGAGTGTTGATACCTCAACAAAACCTCATAAAGAGATTACAGGAGCATCCACACCACCCAAGTAGCTATCAGGTGAGTCCCATCATCATTTGGAAAATAAACAAGGTATGCATTTACAGTTGGGGGGACTCATTGCATTTTAGGGACTCAAATGCTTAGGAAGGCCATCTAGTAAATGCATATATGATCAACCAGGGGACTCAGAAGTGTTGTGTTAAGAATTAAACATTTCACATGGTCCAACTAACACAAGTACAACCAATAACAACCTAATGCACAACCCTAGCATAAACACAACCAATAGCAACCTAGGACAACCTTAGTACCACAGTAGTCACAAGGCAAAGCACAACCATACCAGCACACAAGACAGAGCAAAAACAAGAGAACAAAGGCCACCAACAACTCACAACCAACATATTCCACAGAATATTATACAGTTCATAACCCAAGTAACCAAACAACAGGTTATAAATACAGAAAATACACAACAAAATACAACAATAATTTGTACAACATGTAGCACACACAAAATATGATCGAAGATAAAAGCAAGACAATCAACATCCTACGAAAGCAAACATAATCGAAATGAAATCCAAAAGAAACTAGGGTTTATAGAGTTTACACTGAGCATTCAGTTAGCAGGAGGGTTGAACTGAGGGTAGTTGATCTGCAGGTACGCCTCAATCACCTCTTCCCTCGACATCCCTCCAAGTGGACCAGATTTGATCCTCTTAGCTCCGTTAGAAGGCCCTTCATCGGCGTTGTGGGACTCAAGTGGCTTAGCCACCTCAGAAACCTCCAGGTCTACTGGGTTTGACTCCCTAGTAGCAGATCCAACAGCGGAGACCTCACCCTCAACATCTACAGCAGCAGTAACAAGATGAACCTCAGCAATTGGAACCACCTCAAGTGGTGGTTCAACAGCGGTCATAGCCACAGGGACCACTTCCTGAGGCTTCTCCTCCTCATCGCTCAACTCAGCAAGTTTTGCACCACGGATCTTCCTCCTAGCAATCACTGAAGCACGTCGAACGGGTTTCATGTTTCCCGTTCCTCGCTGCGGCTTATAGGTAATACGCCCAGATCGGCGCTTAGATGCATTTGATTCAAGGGTCTCATGGCAAAGAAGATCGAGTTCTTTGTCCTTTGAACTAGACATAGTGGGACTCAAGAAGTAGAAGAACAAAACAGAAGAAGGAAGGAGAAAACCCAGATCGCAACAACAGTGACAGAGTTAGAGAGAGAGAGAGGAGATCCAAAATGGCGAAGAGTGAGGAGTGAGAAAAAAAATGAACTAGGGTTTTGGGGGGGCTAATATAATATGGAGAAATCTCCAGAATAAATGCAACCAACCATATTCATCTGATCAATTGAATGTTGTAGCATTCAATTGAGTTGGTTGGGGTGATGTAGAATTTAAAGAGTTGGGGTTTTTTTTTGGTGGGAATGATTAATCTAATTGGTGAGTTAGGTAGTGTAATTGTATTAGGTTAGTAGTATAATAACATAGGTTATAAAAATAAGTAAGGGTAAGATTGTAATTTTACCTAAAAAAACTTATTAAATAAGGAAAAATTTGAGAAAGTTGCAAGTAATGTGGACCGGCCCAAAAAGGAAATAGTTGCAACTAATTTGGACCGAAGGTAGTATATGATACAAGGAATACGTGAATGATTATGCCGATATGTGACACGCTGATTAAGGATTCTACATCGAAACATTATGTTGTTGCGTTCATCCATATCATATTATTGCTGAATATTTGTACACGTTATTGTAATTTTAAAGTTTTATATGGGCTGTAATCAATCTTCATGTCTTGTATGGTTACACAACTTACACCGGCTATGGCATTCAACTTTTCATGTAATACTTTAATTGATCAATAATCCAATTGGTGAAATGATGTTCCACAACTATTGCCTCTCAACTACCGAGCTAGGTTTGGTTTAGTGGAAAGAATTGTACCTTCCGACCTTAAGGTTGGGGGTTCAACCCTCGCTAAAGACACTTTGAGGATGGAGATCCCTTACCTTTCCCCCCCTCACTCTTAAAGATGTCTGACCCGCAAATTTCGGACCAAAAAAACCATTAGGGTTGAGGTTCGATCAGAATCCTTCTCCTTACTATTAAAAATAAAAAATAAAAATAAAAAATTATCAACTCCTCCCATCTTACACACAAGCATATGATCATTCAAATTTAAAAGGTCATCAGGCTTCTAAAAGGCCCCGTTTATTTCATTGAAGTTTACTCATTTTTACTGAAATGAATTTTTTTTTTAAAAAAAAGTTCCGTTGCCGATATGATACAAGGTAGTATATGATACAAGGAATACGTGAATGATTATGCCGATATGTGACACGCTGATTAAGGATTCTAAATCGAAACATTATGTTGTTGCGTTCATCCATATCATATTATTGCTGAATATTTGTACACATTATTGTAATTTTAAAGTTTTATATGGGCTGTAATCAATCTTCATGTCTTGTATGGTTACACAACTTACACCGGCTATGGCATTCAACTTTTCATGTAATACTTTAATTGATCAATAATCCAATTGGTGAAATGATGTTCCACAACTATTGCCTCTCAACTACCGAGCTAGGTTTGGTTTAGTGAAAAGAATTGTACCTTCCGACCTTAAGGTTGGGGGTTCAACCCTCGCTAAAGGCACTTTGAGGATGGAGATCCCTTACCTTTCCCCCCCCACTCTTAAAGATGTCTGACCCGCATATTTCGGACCAAAAAAACCATTAGGGTTGAGGTTCGATCAAAATCCTTCTCCTTACTATTAAAAATAAAAAATAAAAATAAAAAATTATCAACTCCTCCCATCTTACACACAAGCATATGATCATTCAAATTTAAAAGGTCATCAGGCTTCTAAAAGGCCCCATTTATTTCATTGAAGTTTACTCATTTTTACTGAAATGGATTTTTTTAAAAAAAAAAGGTTCCGTTGCCGGGACTTGAACCCGGGTCTCTCGGGTGAGAGCCGAGTATCCTGACCAACTAGACTACAACGGATTTGTTGAAAGTTATAGTAGAATAAATTTTAACAATAACATACGAGTATTTCTCAAATCAACACTTCTTTTTTTTTTTTGAAGCCAATCAAATCAACACTTCTATAATTTTATATTTGTATTTAATTAATGCAACATAATTAATTGTCAGTATTATTATACTCAAATAAAAATTATTTGTCACTATTATTTTACTTTTTTGAGGCCCATCACTATTAATTTACTAAAAGATTTTTTGAGGCCCATCACTATCACTTATTCCATTTTTATTAGTCCATTTTTATTAGTCATATTTGTTTTTTTAAGTACCATTAATATTAATTTTGTTACTAAAATTCTCTCCAATTTGCAAAATAACTTTCTTATGTAAATTTTGCTTTTCCATATAGTACTTTAATCACTTTTTCTCCCTACTCTTTTTCCATTCCTGATATAAATTTACTTTTTCCATTCCTGATATAAATTTACTTTTTCAATATACTTTTACTATATTTTATTCATATTTATTAATTCCCGTGAAAATTGCCTAAAAGTGACTATCAAATAGAAGCTGGGAGAGTATATTTTATTGTAGTAAAATATATAATGCATCGACAATTAGCATGAAAAAACACATTTTTTTTGCAAATTAATTAAAATACTTGGAACATACTTAAAAAATAAAATGCACTTATCATTTCCTATCCATACACTTATCTCATCACATGGCAAATACAGCTTTAAATTGCCTTCCCACCCAAAAACAAAAGTACTTCTACAACCAAAATAAAAACACTAATTAAATCAAAACAAAAACAACACGAAAAAAAAAAGTGGTGCAAAAATAAAACCCTACAAAATACTAAGAAGTTTGAGCTTGACTAGTATGATAAGTGTTATGATCAGTAGTACTACTAGTAGTAGTAGCCTCTTGAGCCTTATGTTGTACATATTGCAAATTCTCCTTAGCCTTTTCCTTAACCTCCCAAGCCGCGTTACCAATCCTCATCCTAGCACTATCCAATTTATCAGCACCGGGCGGGTGCTTCCCGGTCGTATACTGATATATCCACGACAAAGCCGATAGGGCCGCAACACCGCACCCACCCGAGAACACGAAGCCAGATGCAATTAAAAAGATTGTTATTAGGGCAGGAACAAGGATAGGACTAAAGAGGACTAGGACGGGTGTGGCTAAGACTAGGGCTAAGACGGTACCGGTTAGGGTTAGACCGGATAGGACTAAGAGGACGGTGCCGATGGTTGAGGCGGTTAGGAACTTTACGGTTTGACGGGTGGTTGGGCTAATTGGGTGGTGGTGTTGTTGGTGTTGCCTTTGTTGTTCATAAGATGACATGTTTGTTTGCATGTTGTTGAATGGTATGTGTTGTGTTTTTTTTTATTTTTGTAAATGTGGTGAGTGTAATGTGTAAGATGGGAGGGAGTGTAAGAGGGATATATTGTAAGGGAAGGGGGGTGTACGTGGAAGAGGGTTAAAATGAGGGTTTGAAATAGGGTGGCAAGTGTTTATTTGCATGCATGGGGTTTTGTGTGAGTTTGACACGTGGAGGAGGACTTGGTTTTTCCTTTGGTGTCACCATTAAAATATGAAAATTTTAAAAATTGTATATTGGTGTTTTTGGTTTTGTGGGTTCGAATATATGTTACTCTCTCCGTGTTTCTTTAGGTGTTATATTTATTAAATCTGACCGTATTTTAATAAGTGTTGCACTTTCATTTTTGGCAAAAAGCTATATTAAAATATTATATCTTTCTCCTCTCATGGTTCCCACCCAAACTTAGGGCCTGTTCTCTTACGTTGAAATTCAGTTCAGTTCAGTTCAACTCAACTCCTAATTTCCTTCTCTTATAAAATATTCATTTCAGTTCAGCTCAGTTCAGTTCAGCTGAATTCAGTCAATGAGAACAAGCTCTTACTACTACTTTTTTTATTTATTTATTATTATATTTCTCATCTCACATTCATTACATTTTAATAAACTATTAACCCCACTATCTTTCTTTTACAATTTTTAATACTCTAACTACCCCACTTACCTCTTATTTTATTTTAGTTGATTAAATTACCTAAAACTATGTGCCGGTCAAACCGTAACACTTAAAAAATACACGGAGGGAGTATATACTTCTAAGTTCCAACAAAGGGGTATTATTTGTGAGACATATAATATTTCTTTGTTGCGACTAATATGAAACCAAGGGAGTACAAAAATTTAATGATTTAATAATTAGGGGTGTTGAATTAGCCAACTCATGTCGGCATGTCCAGATCTGACTCTCTTCATTTTTATTGGATTATGTATCCTGCTCATGAAATTATCAACAATAGAGAAACTCATTTAAAGGTTTATATATGGAATCCACTTGTAATATAATGAAATCATTAAAATAATCAAAATAAAAAAAAATTAATTATTACAAAAAAAGATAATTCTATATGTTAATAAAGAGTAAACATTTAAAATATATCCTAATTTGATATTTATTTAGAAATGTATGATAAATCACATGCAAATCAATATAATTAATGTTAAATTTTTATTTATTTTTTCTATTTTTAGTTCCTAATACATAGTATATTCTTCATTTTCCAGAAAAGAAAGAAGTGGGCTCAACAAATTGAACTCCATTTATCAACATATAAAGCCGGCTTGCATTTACAAAGCCAAATTTTTCCCCACTCCTATCAACAATAAGGGGGTGTTTAGTTCACATAATTAAGGTATAAGGTATGAGTTTAGAATGGTTTAAACCCATACCTTATGTTTGTTTTATGAGTTTCAAACCCATACCTCAAACCCCCAAGGTATGGGGTTTAGAAACCTTGGGGGGGTGGGTTTGGCTCATTCCGATACATTTAGGCTTAAATAAAATAAAAACATTGCATTTCATGATTATACCAAACATATGGTATTAATAATCAAGTTCCAAACCCATACCACTATGGTTTCATTCCTGATTCCAACCCCATACCAGTTTGCGAACCAAACGGCCCCTAAGAGGTTTCTCCACAAACTTGTAAAAACGCACACTTTAATACAAATCATTGCTATTGCCCTTAATGCTACAAGCTTGGAATTTGTTATATACATTGGGTATACTGTTTATCCATATGCATTTGTTCTTATTTTGATGATTGTTTTTCATTTAATCATCAAATGAAGAAAAACACTAACCTTGAGTAAGTTGGTGTACGATGCACCCGAGATTATATAACAATCTCTCCTACAAACTAGATAATCAACACACAACCCCAAATCTTGTTTAATTTAGTTAAATCATCTCTCAAGATTTTAACTATACAAATTATTAATGGGGACAAAGAATTTGTACTTGTAAAATCATAGATTCATAGATGACTTAAAGTAAGTTAAATTTCGCCTAAGATTTGGTTTTAATAAATTAATTAACAATTATACACATACATTTGGTCAATAATTCCTTTAATCCTACTCAAACTCCATCTCCACCGTCAATACAACCGTACGACCTTAACAATCAACGGCCACAATACGCTAGATCGAAAAAAAAAAAACAATTCTCAAATCTCAAATACGCTCCTCCTAATCAAATCGAACAAAGAAGTTACAAAAAGAAAATTTGAATTGTTGAACAATTATGATTGGTCCACGTGTCCACCCCAAAAATTCGACCGTTGTAGAAATCATTCAATTTCTTCCACCCCTAATCCTCCCTCCCCTCTCCACCGTTGAACACCACTGTCATTTTCTCTCTTTCTTCTTTCTCTCTCTACTTTCTCTCTCTTATTTCTCTCTCTTCAATGGCGATTGCTGCGGAAAATCAGGCTGAGGAGAAGGTGAGTTAAAGATTTTAATTTTCAATTTTCGGATTATTATAAAGTTAGGGTTGAATTTGTTCTTGAATTGTGAAATTAGGATTTTTAAATCGCGTGAGATGGTGCTAGGGTTTTGTAGAAGTTTATGTTAAATCTTCAAATGTAAAGTTTCTAATTTCTGGTGCTAAATTTGTTTCTTTGTTTCGATTTGTTCATTCTTTAGTCCAGAAATCGGATAAAAAATGGCGATAATTTTAGAAATTCGTCGTATTTGTTGAATTCGTAGAATGAAGTTTTATAACTTATGAGTTCGAATTCATCTTACCGTTTGATTCTGTGCAATGCGCGAAAATCTGCACTTGTTCTTTGAAATGCGTATATTCATTTCGATTTCGTTGTGATTTGCTAATTTCAGCTTTGATTGGTCGATTTATAATGAATTGACTGATACCTAGTTTAGGAAATCTGGATTTTTTTTTTTTTTTTTTTTTTTGGTGCTGAGTGTCTGTCTTTTTGTGAGTTTATTCAGGCATCTGCAGAGGTTCCTGCAGCGGAGAAGCAACGGTGGGTACTAAACGATTTCGATATCGGAAAGCCACTCGGTCGAGGGAAGTTTGGTCATGTCTACTTGGCAAGAGAGAAGAGAGTATGCCATTTAATCTTGCTCCTTTTTTTCAAGTAGGAAGTTTTAGTTGTAATGTTTCTGTTTATGTCTAAACTGTGAATATGCATAATTGGACAGTCTTAATTTAACCTTGAAATATGATGATCTATTCTTAATCCAAAACATGTGTGAACAATGAATTAACATAAGCTAATTTCAAGAAATGATGATATAAGAAAATCCACCTCACTTTATATTAGCTATTGCTTTGAACTATGGTATTCAATCTCGGCCACATCACAATGGTGTGTAAAGAATGATATCGAATCGAATCTCGGCTGCTCAACTGCATCGCGATCGAATTGTATTGAAACTGTCAAGGATTTGCTTCTTTGAGATTTGTATATCTTTAGCTAGTAAAGACATCACAAGTTGAAAAGGCACAAAATTTGAGTCTTTTATCAATACCTGTCATTAGCACTGTTATGTTTGATTTAATTTTGTGGCCTTATCCTCCATTTTTGTACACTGTGATTGATATTAAGTGCACCCTTATTTATTACCCCTTTGATAATATCTTGGCCTAAAGGGGGATTTTGAGAATTTTACTAATTTGCTGATTATTGGAGCAGAGCAATCATATAGTGGCATTGAAAGTGCTTTTCAAGAGCCAGCTAAAACAATCACAAGTTGAGCACCAGATTCGTCGAGAAGTTGAAATTCAAAGCCATCTTCGCCATCCCAACATACTACGTCTCTATGGATATTTCTATGATCAGGTACTGCTTTATGTTTATGTAATGATGTTGGCTATGTCTGATGAGAGATTGTTCCATACAAAGGTGAAATGACTCGATATGTTATCTATGCAGAAACGTGTGTATCTGATTCTTGAGTATGCACCGAAAGGAGAGCTGTACAAAGAGCTTCAGAAATGCAAGTATTTCGCTGAAAAGCGAGCAGCAACTGTAAGTTACTCCCATAGCAAAAAAAAAAATTTGAGGTACTTTGGTAGGAATGGTTTCAAAATGTATGACCTGATAGCAAATCCAGCTCAAACATATATATTGTTCATAATTTTCAAGTTAATTTAGTTGAGTTCAATACGCTTTTTCTTACATCTTTTGCAAAATTGCAAAGCTTGTTCCTTAGATAGGTGTATGACAGAGGACAGCAATTTTACTTCTACTGATATTAACAGCCACTTCATTCAGCATGTCAAGAGTGCTAACATGTATCTTTTATACCTTTTTCATTTGTCTGCAGTATATTGCATCATTAGCCAGGGCTCTTATTTACTGTCACGGAAAACATGTGATTCACAGAGATATCAAGCCAGAGAACCTCCTTATAGGGGCACAGGTAACAAGCACAACTAGGCCTTCCATTTTGGTTTTCCTCAGGCTTCCATATCCGCAAGATTGTGCTAATATTGAAAATTATTTTCTGTCAGGGGGAACTCAAGATAGCGGACTTTGGTTGGGCAGTTCATACATTCAACCGCAGGAAGACCATGTGTGGGACACTTGACTATCTTCCTCCAGAAATGGGTATGCATTCTGTGAACAATCTTTATTACAGCAGATTTTTTTAAGTGTTTATTTTGGGTTAGACATGATTTATTTTGTGCTCCCCTTTTGCCTTGACAGTTGAGAGCGTAGAACATGATGCAAGTGTTGACATATGGAGCCTTGGCATCCTTTGTTACGAGTTTCTATATGGTTTCCCTCCCTTTGAGGCTAAGGAACATTCAGACACATATAGGAGGTGAGAAATCATTGACTGCGTGTATGTTGTCTGTTTGAAATAAGTAAACTTGTATCAGCTTCCATTAACATCAGTAAGAACACGTCTTTTTGCAGGATTGTGCTAGTTGATTTAAAGTTTCCCCCCAAACCCATTGTATCATCAGCTGCAAAGGACCTGATTAGTAAGGTAAACATCTTTTTAGAATGCTGATAATTCTTTTTTCAAACCTGCAATATCTAAATGATCGTTCTGACCTTCATCATTAAAATATCAGATGCTCGTTAAAGACTCAGCAGACCGTCTTCCACTGCACAAGCTTCTGGAACATCCATGGATAGTACAAAATGCAGATCCTTCAGGTCTTTACAAGTTCTAATACGTGCTCTTCGGCTCCATAGTGATACGCCATTATAACAAGAACAAGTACTTATTTTGTAAAATTGTCATCTAATGCATGTTTCCTAGGATGGGCTAATCTGTATAATAACCATGTCTGATGTCCCCTCTAAATTTAAAGTAGTTGCCATCTTCCTAGGGGTGTAGACATATTTCAGGTGAATATTATTTGTTCCCCATATTATATATTGTAGCTATAAGAATTCTTTTGTTCGTTTATTATGTACTAAAATCAAGGCAAGGATAATAATATATCGAATACTGATCACTGTCTCAAGTGCATCTCCTACGTTATTTGATGGGCTATCGCCTTTTACAACCAAGTCCGAGTTGAAGTCATGCAAAAAACACATCAGGTTGACATGAATTTCAACATTAATGAGTACTTGAACCAGCCTACCAACTTAACAACTCCAATTCTTCCATGGAAAATTTCTTTTTTTTCAAACAGTTTGCATTTGGGTTTGAAACTATCAGCATATCCCATTTGTTTTTCCTTTTAATTTATCCTAATTCCAGTATCTCCTGAACTCTGCTGCCCACTTCCTTCACCACAGACCACATAACCTGGTTTGAGTTCTGATGGCCAATGAAGCTTTAATGGGGGCTTTATCATATGCGATAGCAGCATAGGCTTCGGTTCTATAGGTTCCAAGACAAATTCCTTTCTGCTTTTACACTTCATTCTCCATTGCCTCTTGGAGCAACCCCTCTGAATCTAGAAACCTGGCCACCAAGCAACTTTTTATTCCTTAGCAAGTTCTAACAACCGAAGCTTCATATTGTCAGGTGATATAATGGATCTAGATAAGTATTTCTACAGAAATGAATTTTGTTAACAAAAGCAATAATTGTCTTGTATGAGACTTCACACAAGGTTTCAGACTTCAGTAGAGTTCCAACAGTAAAACTGAAGTTTAACTTAATCAAGTAGTGATTAAAAGGCCTCGAGTATTAAGATTTAAGAATGCCTAAATGCTATGTGAATAGAACTGGTGAAGTTTTATTCATGATGCATGCAAGGAACTATAAAATGATGCATCCAACAAAGACAGCACAGTATCTGTTCTGCCAAGAGCTAAATAAAATAGCGAAGATGCAACATAACACTATAAAATTATTTGCTCAGAATGATGGAGTCTAACCTCAATTTCTCAGGATAAAGAGCACGAAGTATCAGATGACACCATCATCTCACTTTCCTGCTAATTACAAGAAGGTAAAATAGACTAGGGAAGGAAGGGATAACCTGAAAATCATGAAAAAGAGGACTGCAAATCTGCTGCAATACCTACTATGGAGAATAAAGCAGGGCATCGACTTAAAGAACGTAGTTTGATATATGAATTTGGTGCAGGACCTTGCACAACCCTGACCACCCTAACCGTAACTTTTATCCAATGTAAGCCCCCTGACCACCCTAACCGGCTTCTTTTCTTCCTTATTATTCCACAAAGCTTTATTGCCTCCCTTAAGCTCCTGATCAGGAGGTTTCCCGGCCTCGTTTCGCCTTAGAACCCCTCCCTCCCCAATGTAAACCAGAGCATTGGGATCACTAGCTACAATACAAGTAGCCAATCTCCCTCCACCCCACTCCATTGTATCGATACCGCGCTCGTAATGCTTATGCAGCCCTACAAAGGCCAATTCAACCCTGTAATGAAATTTATCACCCACTTCTACACCAGGAACAGCTCCAATCATCAATGTAGATTGGTTTGAAATCTTCCCTTCTTTTCTCAATTCTGCACAAGCTACTGTATCAATCCTTCTAATTCCTCTTCCACTCATTGAAATTTCCTTACACCTTTTCCTAAACAATTCCACCATTTCCAACACTTTCTTCCTTTCCCTAGAAATGTTCTGGGGTTTCTTCGTCTCATCCACCTTCTCCTTCTTCTTCTCTCCTGCTCTTCTCTCAGTAACTGCATCGAAACCCGAACCCGGCAATGCTTTTCCCTTCACATTCTCAGGAATTTTCACAGGAATTCCATCATCCATTGGTTGCTTACTTCTCACAGCAGGCACAGAGCGTCTCCAAGCAGTGGAATTACTGCAAAACCCAGGAATTTTCTCACTTTCAGTAGGTTTTTCAGAGGGTTTTTGATTGATTTTTGGGGAATTTGAGCCACACCCAGGTGGAAATTCTCTAGTATAATGATGAACTCTCTTCACAGTTGGAAATTCCATAAAGGGTGAGTTTGAAATCCCAAATTGTGGCGGGAATTCTCGGGACAATGAAACCCTAGATCTCTTACTTCCATGGTTTTCAGCTTCCATTAATAGAAAATTTTTGAAAAACAGGGGAAGGGGGAAAATGGGTATGAATTCAAACTCAATGTGAGCAGAATTCTGAGAAAATTGGAGCTTTCAAGCTCAAAAATTTGTAAAGAACAGCAAGAACCCAACGAATAACCCAGAATAATTCCAGGAAATTGCAAAAATGAAGGAAATTTTGGGATGTTTCAAGTTTCTGGGTGTTCAAATTTTGGGAGAAAAATATAGGAGTGAAGATGACAAAAGTTGTGAGAAAAGATTGAAGGGTTTTAATGGGATGGTTTTAAGAGAGAGAAAGTTGTGAGAGTAAACGCCATTGATAAGAGGTTTGAGAGCTTAGCAGAAGGAGGGAATGAAATGCAGTGTATGTATAACTGTATTTAGACTCTGAAGAAGCAGATTCTATTTTTAACCACTTTTGGCTTTTAGTGATAACCCCCCTTTTTTTTCTTTTTTTTTTTTAGAGGTGAATTTGCCAAATATGAGTGTAATGAATTTCCTATTGTCTTTCAAAAAATAGCAAAAAAAATCTAAAAGATTGACTAATACTCTACACGTTTTTGTAATAACCAACATAATTAATACTCTATCCATTTTGATTAATACTCTACTTTTTTGATTGCCTTTAATCTTTACCTTAATATTCCCGCTTTTTGAAACAAAATGAAAATAAGAAAGAAAAGAATAACAATGTGATTAATGTGGAGATCGAGAAAAGAGAAGAAAATTTTACAAAAAATTGATTTTTTTTTATGGAAAAATTATTAATGGGAAAATTATTTTAAAAATTGTATGAAAAAAGTAGTGATATATACAATTTGGCACACTCACTAAATTATACTCGTATATAGGAAATTGATGGGAATTATTCTAACTATATATATATCAGAAATTTCAAATGAGAAGAAATTTTTAACTATAATCAAGAAATGAGCAAATAAGGATTGAAGTAAGTATAAAGTAAAGTGGTGGGATAGTCTTTTGTTCATAAAATGATAGAAAGTTAAGGAAAAATTGCCAAAAATAATACAACGTTTGACCCATTTTTTTTTTTTTTTTTAATAATACAATCTTTTGATTAATTTTGAATAATACAATCTTTAGGGGTGTTAATTTTAAACAAGGCAAAATTAGTTATTCGGTGGGTTTTGAGGTTAGGAGAGGGGAGGGGATGAGTTTTTGGTAGTGGGGATTGGCAAGGGAGGAACACCCCCTCCTCTTTCCCACCTCAAAATTCCGATTTTGTTTTGTTTTAAATTATCATTCCCTAAAAACTCTATTATTCAAAAATAATTAAAAGGTTTTATTTTTAAAAAATAATCAAAAGGTATGTCAGCCTCAAGATGCGCCAACTTCTTCTTCCTCGATCTGTGTTGTACCATCGTCTGTATTTTTGTTTATCAGATCAATGTAATCTCCTTGAGGCTGTCTAAAACAAAAATTCACATAAAATCGATGTAAAATTGAATTTCGCCATAGTAAAATATTAGTGGTTCTTTAGTTCTTTTTAGCTTAGAATGGAGCGACCAAAAATAAAAAGTGTGTCATTTAATTTGAAACGGAGAAAAAATAAAGTGCCTTAAAGAACAATCACAAGATACCATGCCAAAATGAGTATGAGAATATGTAAAGGGACACTTCAAAATAATATACTCTTATAGACAATCCTTAAGGACTAAGAACTTAAGAAGAGTATAGTTCAACTTATTGCTTCCATTAAGTTGCTTTCAAACATAAGTCTTTATGTACATTAATTCATCTTGATTTGATCTTTTGGTTTTTACTCCATCCATTTTTCTGGTTGAGTGACACATCGACCTTCTGATCACATTTTGCATCCCACTATAGTTTGACAAAATATATATATATATATATATATATATATATATATATATATATATATTTTGGAATCAAGGTTTGACATAATTTTTTAAGTTACACGTAGTATAAAATAATATAATGCTGACTATAGTTTGACAATATATATATATATATATATATATATATATATATATATATATATATATATATTTTGGAATCAAGGTTTGACATAATTTTTTAAGTTACACGTAGTATAAAATAATATAATGCTGTTGTATACTCCATAATATATTGTCGTATAAATCACAATATATCTCAGCATGTGAGAAAAGTGCTAGAATATCACTTGGAAAAAAGAGTGAATATGAAAGTACAAATAACTATGTACTCGTACGTACAAAGGATAAAAGAATTTTGGTAGGGATAAGTTTTGCATGTGTATAGTCTTTTTTTTTTCCTTTTTTCTTTTTTAATTTTAGAGTCATGTACTCCGTTTCATAATATTAGTCCCATATACTATTTTAGGCGTTTTAAAATGATCTATTCATATTGAATCTATTCCTTTTTAAATTTTATTTTATTTTCCTAATTTAGTCTTATAATTTCTAATCCCATTAGTGAATTGATGACATGGCAGTAATTAAATATTCTGATTGGTCATCAATCCCATTAAACAAGCATTGTAATTGATGCTTTCCAAATAAAAAAAATCACAACATTTAATAAGATAGAACTAATTAAGCAATTTTTGTACTAAAATGTAAGATTCCAAATATTATTCATTCTCTTATTTTTTTGTGATTGATTCTATATGAGACTAACAAAGTGAAACGGAGGGAGTAATATTTATTCAAAATAAACAAATAAAAACAAAACAAAATATATGTATGGTAAGAAAACTAAATGTAATCCTTTTTGTTCGTATAATTAGGGGTTGAATCAAGGGGGTAGGGATAGGCCATGACCCCCATATGATTCAATTAAAATTTATTATGCATGTAGAAACAACTTATACTCTCTCCGTTTTTAAATACTTGCTCTACTTTTCTTTTTCGGCCGTTTTTAAATACTTGCTCCATTTCCTTTTTTGAAAAGCTTTTATAATATTTAATTCATTTCCCATACTTGGTGGACCCAACATAATACTCTCTTTCCTCCTATTCTTCCACTACTTTTGCTTTTTATAATTTTTTATTTTTCCAACTACTCCACTACCTCCATATTTTTATTACTTTCTACAATTTCTCCTAAAACTCCGCGCATGGAGAAATGGAGCAAATATTTAAAAACGAAGGGAGTACATTGTAGCTAAGCTAGTTTAAGAAATTAAACCATGATATTGGGGATCTTAATATGTACAGTAATACGTATTTTACAACTTTTTAAAAAAAGTTTTCTTAAAAAATCTATTATTTTCTAGAAAAATAGCAATTATATATGTTAGGATAAATTATAGCTTAGTATTCAAAATTTTATAAGTTGTGTAATGAAAGAATTAAAATTGTTTCTAGACAAAATAAATAAAAACTTTGTATATATTTGATCTTGATCCCCTTATTGTAAATTTCTGGTTACGCCTGTTGTAAATAAATAAATAAATAAATAAATAAATCCGGTTACGCTACTGCATGTAATATAATTTGAAGATTTATTTGAAGATTTTATATGTTCAGATCATATGCATACAATGAGAAGAAAAAAAAAGATCTCACAACTACTAAAACTTAATGTTTTGGCGAAAATTGTGTGTATATGCAATTAGACACTTATGTTAGGGATGCTTCATCATATTTACAAGTAATACAAGAAATAGTGGGTGATTGAGGTCTAACATTAGAAATTATGTGTATAAGAAACTAAGTAGTACTCCCGCGGCCAATTGTTTGCCCCAATCATAAATCCACTTTATTAAAATTTTGGGTAAAAAATGGTGCACATGGGTTGACACAAATATCAATGAGGAGAGAGATAGAGAGAGTGCAATTGGGAAAACATGCCAAAAGTAATACGGAGTATGGGGCAATTTTTTGGAGATGTCTTAAAAAAGAAAGTGGGGCAAACAATTAGGGACAGAGAGAGTACTTATAAACATAATGTTGAGTAATGTAATAAGTAAAAAGAGAAGTACTCCATTAAAAAAAAAAAAAAAAAAGTTTTTGTCATTTCATATGCTTACCTTTATGGCATGTTTGTTTAGGGGGATAAACAAAGAGGGATAGGAATTTGGAAAAAAGATTAAAATCCTATGTTTGTTTCTAAGGATTGGAATTAGAGAGGGATGAGATTGGGATAAAATCACCTCTTATTCCTCAATTTCTATACCCAGGGGGGTTGGAATAAGAATGAGGGATAAGGATTATAATTAAAATGACATTTATTCCCTTAATGAAGAGTAAAAAAGATAAAGGAGAAAAATAAGGTTAGTAAGGGTATCTTTGTAACTTTGTTACTTATTTACTTTTGTCTCTAACTTATACCAAACAAAGCATAACACTTTATTTAATCCTTATTCCATGCATCCAAAATTCTCTATCTTTATCTTATCCTCTTATCTTTCTTATCCCTATCCCACATACTAAACGCCTTGGTAAAGGATAAGTTAGATAATAATCAGGTCAAAGATTTCAAGTCAATGAACACAAGTCTTAATTATTTTTATTTTTTTTAACATCGATTCTTAATCATAATATGTTAGTGAAATTATAATAATTAAAAACTTATTATATGAAGTCTCGCAATTTCTAACATACACCTAACTTACTAACCATACTTGATGTTCAACAATTACTACACATAAGTTGTGTACTTGTGTGCAAAAAACACAGTAGCACATGTAATGTGTACGCTATATATGCCATAATATGCAAGAAAGTGTGAGGACACATAAAGCATGTATTACTAATGTGCATGAAGGCCATTCACTAAGTATGAACTGAATTATTGAAGCTCTTTGAGAAATTGGTAATGCACCATAATAGTTACATATATATAGTTATATATTACCTCCGTTAACCTTGCAACTTTGGGGTATTATTTGAGAGACATAAAATATTCCAAAGTTGCAAGTAAATGTTAACGGTACAAATTACTACTTATAAAGGGTGTCTTCCATCTTCAAGTTGCATTCCTTGTCAAAATAATGATACTATGATAGGTGTGGTCGTGTGGACATTAGCACATAGCAGTGTGTTGCTGAATCCGTCACCATTCAATCGATGCCCTAAAACCTGCATATAACAGACCATGTACAATATTATGTGCTACAAAAAGTTTCAAGAATCATCATCAGAAAACTTAATTAAATTGCTATATCAACATTAAAGTTGCAAACATTGCAATAAAACCTGTAATTAGAAACAGAGTTAAGCCACTGTCAGTGATCAATTTTGATTATACATTAATGTTTCCAACAACTGCTTAATGTTATACAATGAAATTTTATCGCTACCTCAAGATTTCAGCACAATGTCAAACCTGTAAACTTGAGAACTTTGTTAGAAAGTTGGTTCTTTTCTTAGCTGTACTATACTACAAGTTCATCAATGTGTAACCAACTGCATTCGGCGAAAATAGACCTCATATATTGAACACTCCATTACTTGTACACGAGCCAATATACATTATGTGCAAAAGTAACACAAAGTGTTCGTTACACCATATATCAGGACTTCAGGAGTATGAGAATGAAAACTTCTGCTTTAACTCTAATAAATAATGCCTTCTTCTGATGATATCACAATGGAAATTACCTTCTCCTACACAAAATTATGTTTCGGAATATCAGAAGAAACAGAACACTTAACCAAATAAGGCGAAACATCAAACTTGACAAACCACTGCGCTTATGGATGTCATTAACAATGATAGGGTCCAAAGAATAGTGTTTTTAAGGACGGGAGTGAGAATTGATCTCAGAATCTCCTGGAACTGGAAGGCCGGGAAGCTCTAACCACTTGAGCTATCCCTCACTCTCACACTGGTAGCATAATGACCATGATTAAAACAAGTTTATAGAGAGTTAGAAATTCAAGAAATCCATAAATTGAAATCAATAACACTAATTTTTTTTTTAAAAGAAACCCCCAAATGTTAGTTAACAGCAACTAACACAATATTTTCAACATTTATAAAAGAAGAAAAACACATAAATGAAAGGACAAAAAAAAGAATCTCCTTATCAGCAAGGTAGCCCAATTTCTTCACTTATAGTATAGGGCTTTGCTTGGCATAATTGGGCCTCGTTGCTTTCCTAGTCTTGGACTAAACCTAAAGCCTTGCAAACTCACTGCAGATAAGAGTTTCACGTCCTCAGTCTAGAGATAGTCTTTTACAACACTTTACGTACTTTTTTATTAGGTAATTTCTCACATTATTTATTAGGTAGTCTTTCATAAATTTTAGATTTTATTAGCTAGTTTCCGACCAAAAAAAATCCTAATTTAAAATTGCAAAGGAAAAAATTGAAAATTAAAAGTTAGCAATATTGACTAAAAAGATTGAAACGTGTTGAAAGCAACCAACCAAATAAAAGTAGATTGGTTTCTTTTATATTTGGGTTGGGATACTTTAAAGTGTAAGAGAGTCTCATTAGTTAGTGCAAATTAAAGCAAGTTCAAAATAAAGAATGCCATGTTCAAGAAAAAAAGCACTTGTTAAGCTCATCTTCTACAATGTCACAACCATTGCAAAGTTCTTCTTTCTCTTCTTCTATCTCTTCTCTCTTTTTGTTGCTAAGATCTTCACTTTCTTCTTCAGGTTATTAATTAACTCCTCTTTTTTCACATTCAATTACACATAAAATTGATGTAACATTATTACTAATTTATTGTTGTTAATCTAGCAGAACCGAAGATGAGTACGAGTACGAAGATGAGATGTTATATGAAGACGACGAGGACGAAGAAGAAACAACAACAGAGGTGGAAGACGAAGAAGAAAATGAACAAGTACATGATGAGTATATACGATATTCATATGTGGGCGAAGAAGATCATATTGTTGCTCATGTAGTAAATGACGGCGACGCCTTAGTTTTCGTTCCGAAAGAAAACTTGCATGATCATAGTAACTCCGATGAGAGTGTATTAGTATTTCAAGATCCTGTTGAAGATTTTAAGGAAGAACAAGCGTACTGTTTTGAGAGCTCGTCTATTAGCTCTTCAGAAAATAATGATGATATTATTGTTGAGAACAATGCTTATGAGGTTGAAAATGAAGATTATGCATTAAGATACGACGAATCCAATTATATGAATGATCAAATCTCTGAGTTGAGAGAAGAAGATGAGAACAACAACAACAACAACAAAAACGACGAAATCTATGAGGAGATGCGTCGAAAATCTCCAATTTATAATAAAAGTCATGGTACGGGTGTTTTCCGTCCCTGGCCTATACACTAAATTCAATTATTAATATCTTTGATTGCGTGTTATTCATATTGTTTAATTTAACTGTCTTTGATATTGTGTAGGAGAAAAGAGTGAAGAGAAAATTGAAGAAGTAAAAAAGGAAGACGCGAAATTCACAAGGGATGATAAATTTCTAATATTTGCCCCTCCAAAATCCGAGTCAAAAAAATTGATCGTAGACATGGAAAAAGAGAAAGAGAAGATGTTCGAGGACACGTACACGATTGGATCAACCTCTAAGAGTTCCTCCGAATGGAGAAGTTCAGTAAGGGATTCGTGTACAGATGATCCTTTCTCTTCTTCGTCTAGAAGGAGCTGCCCTAAATGGGAGTCTTATGCCGTGTATCAAAAATATGATGAGGAAATGATGTTTCTCGATAGAATTAGCGCACAAAAGCTTCATGAAACTGGTATGTTAATTTATACATCAATAGTTGTTACTCCCTCCGTCCCTAATCTACATTCTTACTTCTCTCTATTATGTGAAGAATAAATGCTAGAATTAGAGATATAATTTAGAGGCGGATGGAGTATTATGTACCAACATGATTTACTTCATTCTAGTTTAATTTTGATGGATAGTATTTAATTAATATTATGTTTTTTTTAATTGTTTGGTGAGAATTTATATTTTTATCCAAATTCTAAAATCCTACTTTATTTCATTAGTAATTTGTTTAATTTGTCAAGCATAATTTAATCCTCTAGTAAAAATTAAGATATCTATATATTGATTAGTGGGAGAATGGTATAGTTGTTATTACGGAGTACAAGGGATTATGTCTAAAAGGTGGATATAATGGTACCACATAGATTCTCTTATATTGAGTAACTTGCATTTTAAAACGGGAGAAAATGACCATTTTACCCACATTACTTCTAAGTTAAGCATTGAACTACCAAAGTGTTACTAGTTTCGTCAACTTGAAACTTGTTTCCAACACTTGAAATAAGATGAACTGGTCTGAATATTTTAAGATTTGATTTGGTCTAATCTGGTTCTTTTTATATTTGTTTAATAAGTTTATTTCATCTGATTTAAATATTTCCATTCTTATTTAAATATTTCTGATATGAACAAAATATTAAATCGAAGAGAGCAAGTTCTTGGTTAATTGATTAATTTTACAATCGATTGTGTAGAATCATTGAAGTCATTTCAAGTGGAACCAAGATCAATTTCCCAAAGAATTGTACACAAACTTGGTAACAAGAAGAAGCCAAGTTCAGGCGACGAAATCTACAAGAACAACCCTTATAATGAACTAGAGGTTGCATATGTTGCTCAAATATGTTTAACGTGGGAGGCGCTTAACTGGAACTATGTAACCTTCAAGCGAAAGCTCGTGTTGAAAACCGATTTAGTAGACCCTGGTTGCCCTGCTTATATTGCACAGCAATTCCAGCAATTTCAAGTACTTCTTCAAAGGTACAATGAAAATGAGCCTTATCAACGCGGTAAAAGGCCTGAAATTTACGCGCGAATGAGAGGCCATGCTCCTAAATTGCTTCAAGTACCTGAATATCACGGTGAGTTTCAATCTTTTTAAAAAAAACGAATGAGAGTGAGGGATAGCTTAGAGCTTCCTTTTCAGTTCTCTAGGAGATCCTAAGATCGATTCTCATCATCTGCATTTGTGGCTCTCTAAACACCAAAAAATCTTATGCATGAACACATATCAAGGATTTAAATACCTAATTATATTCAAATCAATCTAACTAATATATGATTCATTATATGCTTTTCTTGTTGTTTACTTACATTGCCCTTTTTGTGTTATTCTAGTTAAAAGTGAGTACAAGGGAATAATGAAGAATCTTGATGATTTAGTGCACGGTCTTAATAAAGTTTACTTCATAATAAGATTAATAACTAATCATTGCATTGGTTCAACACATTAATATATCTTATTATTATTATTTAAGAGTACATGAATCATATATTATTATGAAATCATAATGCAAAATGTTCTAAGAGTTCAACCAAAGAAAAGGTGTCTTATACTTTCAGTTTTGTATAAGCCAAGTCGTGTACATACAATTCTTTAGCCATATTTTAGTCGTCTTTTAGAAAATTGAGAATTTATGACAAATTTATATAATTTGTTTAAACGGTCTAACAATTTTATGTAGCTATGTCCAGTATGAACTCGAATATATCATTGCTTCTTACGGAGTAGTTCTTACATACATCATTAAATTTATCGAACAGATTATGAAGGAGACGAAAAGGAATTAAATGGAGGAAGAATAGCATCAACATTGTTCCTTGAGATACTAGAAGATTCAATTCAAACATTTATGAACTTTCTTAAAGCAGATAGAGAGAATCATTGCCAAGTTATCACTTCATTTTTTAAAGTACGTCCAAGAGGATCAATCGATCCTACCGTTCTCAAAGTGTTCAAAAAATGCAACAAAAAGGTTAGCTCAATTTAATTAGCATCAATTATATGTCGATAACATCTATTTTTATTTTAATAATTTAATTAAAGATATTAATGATTAAATAAAACTGTGTATTCACTCATATATTAGTAAAAGTATGAAACTGTTACACTTGTTTAAATACAAATGGATATCTCTCGTTAAATTTTATAATATTTGTTCATGCATTTTTTATATGTAACATATTCTAATATATTACGAATGTATATATATTTGCAGAAGAAGTTGAAGCTGAATGAATTACAACGTTCGTGTATATGCTTCAAAAAGAGGAATTTAACAAGGGAGGAAGAAATGGAGATTTTGATGAGTTTAATCGATTTAAAAGTGGTGTCAAGAGTTTTAAGGATGGCAGAAATAACACAAGAACAATTACATTGGTGTGAAGATAAGATGGGCAAAATAAGAATTTTTGAAGGGAAGAAATTACAAAGAGATTCCTCCCCTCTTTTCTTTCCTGCTCATTGACCCAATTTTAATAAAATAACATGCTTTTGCTTTGGTGACTAGACTTTACATCTTCAATGAGTATATGAATATCCCTTTGGAAGTCCCCTTTTCTTTTGATGGGTTTATCATATAAGTTATTTACCATACCTAAAAATTATGGGGCCGTCAAACCGTTTAATTTAAATTTTAGACACATACATATAATACGGTGAGTCATGAAAAGACATTATCTCAACCAACGTGTGTAATTCACACACTTGCAGTATCTGTAATATAACTATTCTATTGTATATAGGTGGAAATAAATATCATTTCCCTTTTTAAAAAATAAAAATAAATTATTTTTAGCGTAACATTTATATAATCCTTACTAAGAATAAGTGAATAAGCATTTAATACATTTTCTAGTTTGGTATTAATTTAAGAATCACGCGCAGATTAGTGTAATATAATATTACATTATTTATTTATTTATTTATTTATTTATTTTTGTTTCATAGTTAACGTCTTATATGTATCCCTAACGGTTATCTATTTATGTATGTCATTTAATTTCCTTATTTTTATTGTAATTTTTTTTGTTTGTGGTCCACAATGTAGATGATAATCCTTTGAAAGGAATTTTCTTGAATATCCTTACTGAATAAGGCCTTTTGTATAAAAGAAAAAAGGAGAAAGTCGAGTAATATATTAAGGTAGGGATGCGTCGTGCGTGCATGCCCTATACAAATGAAAGGGAAAAAGAAATAAAGTGGATGAAATAAATGACGTATGAAGGAATCTAAAAAAGAGAGAAGAGTCGGAGTATAACTTTGTTTTGGGCTTCTTCATAACGTGGAAAGTGAATCAAAAACATGCAAACAGACAAGTTTTATTATTTGCTTTAGCTTTAGTCCACTTTAGCTTCTTTTTTTTCATAAGGATTATTTGTTACAATTTGGATTTGTGAAATAAAAGGTTGTTGCATGTTGTAGTGGCCTGGGAATAAAGAGGTTGCTCGTGTTACACTCAAACATCAGATTATTAGCAGCCCTTAAAAAAAAATTTAAAAAAAAAAAAAAAAAAAAAAAAAAACTCCAGGTTAAATGCAAAAGTGAAGGAAATTTAAGGATGTGTCAAGTTTTGAGCTAATGCAATGTAGTCAAATTTTGTGGAGAAAAATGTACTCGATTGATAAGAGGTTTGAGAGCTTAGCAGAAGAGGATCGATGCAATGTGTGTAACTGTACTTTTGACTCTAGGGGCACAGATTAAACATTTTTAAAAAATTGGATGTATAATAAAATGTTATACATCCAATTTAAATTAAAGTCACCTTAAAATGATCAAAAGTAGTTACCATATATATAAGTTATCCTGATGTAAATTAAAGAGTTTTATAAATAAAAGTTATCCTAAATTCAACAAAATTTACTCTAAATTCAACAAAAGTTATCTCGATGTACAGTAATATTATAGTAATACATCGGATGTATACAAAAGTTTTTGTTCTATTTTTAACGCTTTTAGTGATACTGGCTCCGTGTGGCTGTGCCACACATAATAATCTTCACTATTTATTATTAATCACACTAATATTTAATTAACAAAATTTATGTCTAGGTACTCGTAAATCTAATTGCAAAATAAGCTAAAAAAATATTGTAATTACAAAATCAGAAGAAGATTGTATCATACAAAAGAAAAATAAGGGATTATTACATACACGATTAACATGACTAATACATAAAAATAATTACTAATCAATCACAAAGTTACATATTTTCAGTATGTAAAGTAGTACATTTTATTGAACACATTTTATACCAAAATTGAAAAAATAGTTATTTAGGGTTCGTTTGGCATTGCTGTGGTTTTCTGTTTTTTGATTTTTTGTTTTCTAAAAGTATATGATATGTGTCCCATAATGAATAAAAAATTATATAAAATTATTAAAATTATGATAATTTTGAAAACTGACAACAGAAAAGTGGAAACACCTTTTTCTTGTTTCCTGTTTTTGATTTAAAAAAAAATAGAAAACTGAAAATCAAAACTGATGCCAAACAAGCTCTTAGCTAGTCACTTAATTTTTTTCTTATGTAATAATATCCAAAGTTATTATTTTGTATTATGTATTTATTATTGCAATAGTGTTGATGAAGATTGAGAAGCTTTTGAAAAAAATAACAAAATTGTAGGGAAAATTTTTATCCAAGAGATAACCGGTGTTATTCCTGTGTTTGACTTTAGTATATACTCCCTTCGTCCCCTTTTGATAGTCCCTTATGGGCAAATTTTAGTCCCAAAATGTTCACCCCATTTGTTTTTTCCAACAACCATTAATATTTATTTTTTACCAAAATTCCCTCCAATTTGCAATAATATTTGTGCAAATTTAACTTTCCCATGTAAATTTTGTTTTCCCATATACTTTTATTACTTTCTCTCTCTCTACTTTTTTGCATACCCAATGTTAATTTACTTTTTCAATATACTTTTACTATTCTTATTTGTGTTTATTAATTTCCGTGAAAAAATCCCATAAGGGACTATCAAAAGGGGACGGAGGGAGTAATAGTTATAGATACAAAGCATGTGTCATACATGTGCCATATTTGTCATAATAGCGTGCATGAAGGTCATGCAAATATGCAATATATATGAATTGAACTATTGAATCTCTTAGAAGAATTGGTAATGCACCATAATAGTTATAAAAGGGTGTCTTTCTTCTTCAAGTTGCATTCCTTTTCAAAACCATGATAGGTGTGGTATAGCACATAACCCTGTTGTTTAAATTAGGGCCTGTTCTAATAGACTGAAATTAGTTGAACTGAACTGAACTGAACTGAGTATTTTATAAGAGAAGGAAATTAGGAGCTGAACTGAACTGAACTGAGCTGAGCTGAACTGACCTGAACTGAACTTAGCTGAGCTGAAAATAAACGTATGAGAACAGACTCTTAATCCATCACCATTTTCTCAATGCCTTAGAACCTGCATATAATAGACCATGTACAATATTACGCGCTACAAAAAAGTTCAATGTTTTCATGGTCAGAAAACTTAAACCGCTATATCATCATTTAAGTTCAGCAACTTTCATAACTTGATTGCTAAGTAGACAAGATTGTAGATATTGACAGTTGGGTCTCATAATTACATTGTATCAAACAATAACAATATATACATAGATTTATGACTAGAGAGCAAATTGTAGGTTCCATCTGTTTTATTCACTTTGAAATTTATACAAATTCTCCTCATCCACAAGACAAAAATCGACATTAACATATACTTCGTATAATAAATCATTATTCATCAATACTCCGATCCTACAGCCTTTCCAACTCCCACACCCTTTTCAAGACACTAAGTTTTGTTTGGAACAATTGTTGTACTGAAATCAAAAGATGTATACAACTTCACTGATTTCGAAGATAATGGCATTGGTAGGAGAAGCTGGGCTCAACCTTTAGCAAAAATCCCATTGAGACCGTAAAATCACCGAGCAGGAAGACAAAAGCACATTGTCTTGGATTTCATTCCTAGCCTCTTCTTAGATTTCTTACCTACCAAATGGGAAAAGAAGAAGAAAAAAAAGACTTATTCAATCTAAGTGACTCAAAGAATTAGGATTTGACACAAGCTGAAGTACAGGATTCTGTTATTGTGTCATGCATGAAGAATGTACAGAATTGTTTTTAGTTTTTACAGTTCTCTCTCTTCGATGGCTGAGCAACACTCTTCTCTTCCACAGCATTGCCTTTGCAGTTCTCTCCCTTCGATGGCTGAGCAACACTCTCCTCTTCCACAGCATTGCCTTTACAGTTCTCGCCCTTTGATGGCTGAGCAACACTCTTCTCTACTGCAGAATTGTTTCTACAGTTCTCTACCGTAGATGACTGAGCAGCACTCTCTTCTGCAGAATCGTTTTTACAGCTCTCTCCCTCCAGTGACTTAGCAACACTGTCCTCTTCCGCAGAATTGTTTTTGCAGTTATCTCCCTCCGATGACTGAGCAGCATTCTCATTTTCCTTGGCGTTGGCAACTTCTATGGCCCCCAAGAAGCTTGGTTGATTGGTCGATGAAAGAAGCCTAGCCCACATCCTATCGGTTATAACAACCTGATTCTGTTGCTCAGTGATGCGCTGCATACAATTCAAGGCAGCATATGTCATCCTAGAGAAACTATAGCTAAAATTCTATGCGGATTTTTGTATGGTGGAAAAGAGCTAGCCACTTGGGGTAACCAAGTTAGCTATGCAACCATCTTTACTTAAATGAGGCCAAGGTTAAAATGCACTGAAAAAATTGAAATTTGGCCTCATTTAAGGAAAATAAAGAAAATTGGAGCCACTTAATATGCGCAGAAGTTTTCATTTAAATCCAAGTTTCTGAATTTGGAGAAACACTGGTCATATACTAAATACAGAACTCACATTGAAAGGAATATACGTTTGCCTTCCATTAACAAGCCCAACTGTGAATCCTGTAAATCCTGCCATAGCTCCATGTACAGCACTTTGAGCAAGATGTGTGCAATATACATTATCAGATGCGTTACTGGGAACAGCACGGATCATGTAGGTAGGATCTGCAAACAACTAGCTCGAGTCATTTTCCTTTCTGTAGTTCTTTCTTAAACTGTTTCAGAATGGACTATACCCTAAATAATGAAGTATACAAAAACCAGATTACTGACCTATATATTTTAGATTTAGAACCATTTTATTTCGCGTAAAATGTTCCTACAGTCATAAACAGGAAACATTAAGAATCTAGAAGATTTAGCATAATCCTTTCATCATAATAGAAGTTATTTCACTACTTCTCAATACACATGCATTATAGGCATAACTGAAATTAATATAACTAGTACAATTTGAAAACAATTAAAGTACTCTCACAGTCTCATCTGTTACACTGATCCATTTATGCAAGATCAGTATCACACAAGGTTCGATAATTTTAAAACATGGCAATAAAGTCATAAACAGATTTTAAAGAGTTTTCATCATTTCACTAAGTAGCATTCAACAAAGTTAAATCTAGCAAAATAAAATCAGGTATCAAAAAGAAGTTCTAGCGATTCACAACTTAGCAAATTAGCAAAGAACTAGTCCCTCGAGTATTTAAGTTAATTAAGAAGAGAAATCATAATGTGATGCAAGCACCAAAGCTGAAAACACGACAATTATAGAATGGCTTTGTAAAATTCAAAGAAACATGATTGAAATTCATCAAAAACATTGCATGGCATGTGGGCATGCTCCATATGAATATCTAGGGCTACCTACCTAATACATACTCGCTTCAATACGTGAGATAAGTATAACATCGCAATACGTTACCTAATCATGTTAAATTAGCCAAAAAATGTAACCTTTTTTAGCACACATGTTCCAATAGTGTGGATAACATGAAGATACAAACCTTAATTTTATGTGACATCCACAGGCCAACATCTTTCAGCAACTTGTTCCCTGAAGCATCTTTCTCATTCCAATTTTGTGATAAGAGCTCCTGCCCAGCTCCTTCAGCAATTACGATGACTATATGCCCATTTTCTTTGAGTCTTTTCTCAATGTATTCAAAAAGCCCACCCTTGCCTTCAAGATAAAAAGGTGACTCGGGAATCAAGCAACAATCAACATCTCGACTAGCTAGAGTTGCAAACATTGCAATAAAACCTGCGATTAGAAAACAACTCCGTGAAGAGAAGTAAGAGAGAGGGAAAGAAACAGAGTTAAGCCACTGTCAATGATCGATTTTGATTATATATAAATGTTTCCAACAACTGCTAAATGACACAGGAATTATTTGAGCATGCTCCTAATACAAGAAATATTTAAACTAGACAAATGAGCATGAATGATTTCAAAAAGCATCCTCTTAAAACTCAAAAAAGGATGCAAGAAAGAAGACTGATTAATGAACAGGATCAACATTATAATTATTAATTATAATGCCTCATTATAAAAGTACAAGAGCCTGAAAATAAACATGTGTTTCACTAGTCTTATGTCTAGTAGGCAGTGGTCACGTTGAACATTTTATACACAGTTTACTTTACTAGTTTACTTAACTCGGGATTGACTTACTCAAAGAACCTTGGAGAAAGAAAATCCCTACATAATTTGGAGAACCTCCTTTAATGATCAGCTTGATATACAAGGTTCTTAATCAGAACAATCTTGCTTAGGTGATTAAATAAGGCACAAGTGAGCAAAAAAAAACGTAGTATGATATAACAGCAGATAAATGATCCTAGTAGCAAATCTTATACCAAGATGATTGCTAAAGCTTAAATACACAAACAGATCGAGAGGTACCACCATACCAGGAAAAGAGACTTGCAAATACTAACTTTTCAGTATTTCAAGCACACAAAATTTTCCATTATAAGTCAAATAATTTCAATAAAAAAGAGATAACTAACCACTGTAGCGGCCCATCAATTTCACCAGACCAATACCATTCTCCATGCTTTCAGCTTCTACATGGGCAGCATTTATTGCACGTTGAGCTTCCTCTACAGCAGTATCAAAGCCAAAAGACCTATCAATAACCTGGAAAGGACAAACCATAACTCCATAAGGCATAAGCCAAAGCAATCATATTCAATTATTCAATAAAACCAACATCTAAAAATAAGACACATATACCAGCTAGAAAACAATAGAATGAGTTCAAAATGCTGCTAAGTACCGGAATGTCATTATCAATCGTTTTAGGGATTCCAGCAACTGCAACTTTCAGGCCTCGTCGTCTAATTTCCTGCATAATTACATATATCAGAAAGCAATAATATTTCGGGCATACATCAATAAGCATCTTTAATACACATTAGTCAAAATCTGAACAGAATCAACAAGGCTATCATACCATGCCATTTAGTTATATCTTAAACTATTTTAAAGAAAATATATATCATGCCAGACAATTTTTATCATCCTATTGGCATTACATATGGGTGACTAGAACATCGGAGATCATTTATCAAATGTTTAAACTTTTGTTATTATAAAGAAGATAAAATAAGTAAATAACAGAATTCCAGTTTGCTATCTAAAGATGCCACCATTTAATAATTGACATACTTAACAAATAAGCCTTTGTCACTAATAAATGGTACCTCATAGATCACAGCTGCTCCTTTCTGTGTCCCATCACCTCCAATTATGTAAACCTGAATAGTTCAAAGACACGTTAGCTTAGCACCACAAAATGTATCACAAAGGACCTCCGACCTAGTAAATGCAATTAAGCTTACAAGAAAAGCATATTATCACTTAATACCTGGTTTATTCCACGGTCTTGAATGCTATCAACTATTTTTTTGGTATCATGACCACCTCGAGAAGTTCCAATCACTGTACCACCGCGCTTATGGATGTCATTGACAAACTTAGGGTCGAAAGGAATAGTATTTTTAGCATAAAAACCCTTATATCCTCCCTAAAGAATGTATTTCACTTTGTCAGATGATAAGATCAGTAACAGATACAAGTACATCATTCATGAGCACAAAAAACACAAAGTTTCAACACACTGGATGCATAATGACCATGATTAAAAGAATTTTTAGAGAGTGTCAGAATAAGTATTCCATAAGTTGATTCTAATTGTTCAATAACACTTAATACTTTAAAAAAGGAACCCCATATTAACAACAACACAAAATTCAGCATTCATGAAAGAAGAAAAACACAAAAATGAATGAAAAAATAATCTCCTTATTAGCAAAGTATGCTTACAAACTTACCGCAGATTTAAGACACCGAATGATTAAAGCAGTTGATATAGATAAAGAGTTTCACACCCTCTATTTTCCAAAGAAAAGACTCATATCAAAACCACAAAACTGCCACACCAGGTTCAGGCATCTAATTTATATTGCAAGCATTTATATCGCGTATCAAAGGATAAAAAAAAAAACATATGTAGTAAATCCAAATTGTTGGACATAAACTCAATAAAAAAAATGATGCAGCAAGCCAGTTACAAAGGATCTTAGCTCTTGAAGCAAAATTCATATTATCTATGATTTTTTCAGCACCATACAGCCACAAATGTTCAATCATATCTAGTTTTGTTTCCTTTTTTGCTCCTTTACCTGGTTAGGGCTATAAACATGATACCATAAAATACAGAAGAATCAAACCAACTGATAATCATGCTATGATGACATGAAGATTGGAAAATCACCGTAACTTACAAAAGACTTATCATACTTACATTAATTCCAATAACTTTGCTGACACCATACATGTGGTAGAGGCCGCAGACAATTTCTCTGATGACAGTGTTAAGTCCAGGGCAAAGACCTCCGCATGTCACAATGCACGCATGCACTTCACCAGAATTAAAGTACACCTGGGCTATGAAAAGGTTTTGATTTTTTTATGACATCCAGAAAATTACTCCCACAGCATCTACATAACAGGCATAAGAGACTGTACCTTCTGCCTTGGACCTGCACGCCTGAAATGTATACCCCTTTGCGAATCCTTGTGAACTACTACCTAGAAAAGGAAAACTAAAAATTAAGCTAGTAGCTCTTCTGTTACTAATTTTTTTTAAACAAAAACCAACATTCCGTATTAATTTTCAAGACCTCATCCTAACATATTGTACAAATCACTTGCACGCTGTCTGGAAAATATCAGAACATACTCTGCAATGGAAAATGTACATATATAAACTGCTATGGCTATGTGACATTGTGACAAATATATATACGGGGAATACCTTCTGTATCACCGTATCATCCTCATGAACAAAATATTGCCTGGAAGGAGAAAAGAGAGAGAGAGAGAGAGAAAGAGAGATCAATAGCTTATCAACCCAAGCTTGGTAAAAAATTTCATTTGTAAAGGAGCCATTAGCAAGGAACTGGCTTACCTAACAACTCAATAGACAGGATTATCTTGTAAAGGATTGGGGTAGGTCTGCAAACAAGGTAAAACATGCAAGTAAAATAAGAAAATCTGACTATAAGTACAAAACAATAACATAAAGCCATAGGCAAACAAATCTATAGCATTTACAATCAAGCATCTCACTGTGCTGTAGATTAACCACAACAAAACCTTGCTATATTTTTTAATTTTTATTATCATTTCAGTTATGTTTCATATATGATTCGGATTTCTATACCTAACACAGAAATATGAATTTTGAAGTTTCCTTCACAGTCCAAATTATGCACAATGGTTGAACATAGGACTCCTTGTGATTAAAAATTGAAACCCCCACATTCAATAATTATAATTCTCACTTTAACCATTATACTTTGAAAAAAGCTTGATGTTTAGGGCTGTGCAATAGTTGTTCAAGCATTAGCTTACTCATACAATAATACAATCAATCTAGCATCAATTTTCCCCAAAGGAAAAAGAAACTATTGTCAAGAGAGACAGATGTATTTTCCTCAAAATTTGGCATACCAACGGCTTTTTTGTTATATAGGTATGCTATAGAAAAACTCATTTAAGAAAAGCACCATCCTCGCTAGTAAAAAGGATAGCACAGTACACATAACTACTTACAAATATTCCACTACATTGTGAGACTTTACATAGTGGAAACTTTATAGTGCACTAAGTAGCAACCTCTTGTGAGCCCCCTCACAGATATTGCAACCTCTAAACTAGCAACATTATGAACCCGTACCAGCATTAAAGCACACTTTTAATCCTACAGTCGACAAAACAGAAGATAGATGCTAAGATGCATAACAAAAGCAACCTCTTGTGAGACCCTTCACAAACGTTGCAACCTTTAAACTAGCAACATTATAAACCCGTACCAGCATTGGAGCACACTTTTAATACTAAAGTCAACAAAACAGAAGATAGATGCTAAGATGCATAACAAAAGCAATCTCTTGTGAGCCCCCTCACAAACATTGCAACGTTTAAACTAGCAACACTAAAAAGTAAAAACCCATACCAGCATTGGAGCACGCCCTTAATCCTACAGTCGAAAAAACAGAAGATAGATGCTAATTAGATGCATAACAAACATTGTAAGGGACATATTGATCATTTAAAGGGTGCTTTTAAGATCATTAACAAATTCACTCTAAAAATATAGGGAACATTTCGGAATGTTAGAAGGTGCAATAATCCAATAACTATTATGCACTTATACTTTCTCGTGATCAAATGTCTCATATCATGAATTCTCTATAATGTGACCAAAAAACCTCCTAATTATGATACCCAAACAAATTCTCATTTCAAAGGTAGAATCTCTCTCTCTCTAAAACACTTTCTCTCTCTTCTTTCACTTTCTTCTCACAAAGGTACTAACTTTAGCATCGGAGTGGTTATTCCCGGATAACCCCCGGGCTAGCTAATCTATATTGGCTGTGTAGGTGAGCAATTGGACGGTAAACCATTACCAGCCCTCAGACACTAACGGAAGCAGAATCCAGTTGGAACAATTGGCGCTAGAAGGAGGGGAAACTTCTATCGTCCAAAAGGACCTCTCACAGTCATGAAAGGAAGTAAGGAAACTTTAGTACTGGTGCCTGAAGTTGATAACCGGCAATATGACAACGGCAATAAAACCGTGCTACCAGAAATCATGGTCGAAGATGAAACTCATCTCCTTCACGGTAACACAATGAACAGACCCGTAACACCTGACCGTAGTAGAGCATTAACCCCAGATCCCCTGGAAGGGTTTACCCCGGAGGAGCTAGAGATAACGGCCAAGGTCATGCGGGCTATGTCTAAGAAAAGAAAGGAAGCCGAGTTAGCGGCAGGGGGAATGCGGGATGAGGTACCGATAAAGCCGCTGATAGTGAACTTGGAGAGTCAGTTCAATCAGGCGGGACAGCAACAACCGTCAAGAAACCGGGGCCGAGAAACCATACCGATCGAGCGCCAACTCACACAAAGCGCCCAGGTAGGGGATTCAGGTTCTTACCGGCACGAGGTCTCTAGTGGCTTGGAAAGGCGGGCAGTCAGGGCGATCATCAGGCCCAGAATATCTCCATTCACACAAGAGGTACTTGACCAACAAATGGAGAAAATAAAGATGTCGTCCTGTACGTATGACAGTAAGGGGGACCCAAAGCGGTATGTGGCTGCGTTTGAAAGTCACATGTTGCTATATACCGACACCGATGCTGTGTGGTGTAAAGTTTTCCCTACGACTCTTATCGGCTCAGCTTCGGATTGGTTCTCCAATTTAGAGCCGGGATCAATTGACTGCTTTGAGACCCTGGTGGAGTTGTTCACAGGTCAGTACATAAGTAATAGTGCGAGACAAAGGACATCTGGCGAGCTCATGGCTATTCGGCAACGAAAGGATGAGTCGCTCAGGGATTTCATTAGACGCTTCAACAACGAGGCTAACACTATACCAAAATTGCAGCAAGAAATTGCCATGATGGCATTGATGAATGGGCTGGATGACAACGACTTCAAAAAATATATGTCGCGGAAGTCTTTCCTCGGCAGAGCCCTCCAAAAGGCAAAATGATAATAGCTCGAATTCTCAGATGAGTGGGATAAACAGGGCGCTGCCGCAAGGCCGACAGAGATCCGGAAGGCCGACACGGGGATTGGGTCGTTATAGTAGTTATACGCAGCTAAACACCCCGAGAGCGGCAATATATTCAATAAACCAGAATAGAGAGGATTGGAGTCGACCGGCACCGATGATAACGAAGGGTCGGGACGTGAAGAAATATTGCATGTTTCATAGAGACGTTGGTCATTACACCGAAGAATGTGTTCAGTTAAAAGAGAACATTGAAGATCTCATAAGGAAGGGGCGATTATCCCAGTACCGTACCCAGGTAGGTCCCAGTCGACAGCAAAATTCACAGCCTAGACAAATCGAGTACCGAAAGCAGGAAGATCCATCAATGCAAGATGATACTTACAGACAGAATCATGCGGAAACATCTAGACAGGGAGGTAATCCGACAGGGCGTAAAATAACAATCGACGTTATTACGGGAGGGCCAGTATATGGAGGTTCCGTAAGCGGGGCCAAGAAGAGTTTGTCGGAATACCGGCACCTAGTGAACGCTTTGAGCGTAGAGGAACGACCTCGGCCTTCTTCCATGCTTTCGATATCTTTTTCGGAAGAGGATGCTAAGGGAGTAATTTACCCTCATGATGATCCGTTGGTGCTGATATTGACGGCAAATGGAGCAGATATCAAGCGGGCACTCGTTGACGGCGGAAGTTCTGCAAATATCCTGTTTGCTAGGGCTTTTGATGCCATGAGGATTGGCCGAAAATACTTGACGCCAGTGTCCTATCCCGTGATAGGTTTCAACGGGTCGACGGTAAGACCTGAAGGTAGTATTGTTCTTCAGGTTCGAATGGGAGAGGGTCCGGCAGTAAGAGACGTTATGGCGGAGTTTTTGGTGATTGATGTGCCATCCGCTTACAACGCCATTGTCGGCAGGCCTCTAATTCATGACATGCAAGCTGTGGTCTCAACGTACCACTTGACGATGGTGTATGTATCCAACGCGGGAACGACAGAACGCGTACGGGGTAGTCAAACTATGGCAAGAGAGTGTTATGTATCGGCGCTGAAGCAGCCAGGCCGACAGCCAACTTGTGAACAGACACCCGCCAAGCGAGAACAAATTCCCTCTACACATGACTTGGCTATGGAAAATTTTGATACCCGGCCGGTAACTGCGCCACGTCCTTCCCCAGGAGGCGAAACTGTAGAGATCGAATTGCAGCCTGGAGTTCCCGGTAGGGTAGTGCGTGTCGGATCCGATATGGATGTCGACACACGCTGCCATTTGGTAGAATTGTTGCGAGAAAGTGCTGACGTGTTCGCTTTCTCGGCAGACGAGATGCCTGGGATACATCCCGACGTCATAGTACATAAGCTAAATGTCGACAGGAGGGCAAGACCTGTTCGACAGAAGAAGAGGAACTTCTCAACAGAGAAAATGGAGGCTATTCGGTCATAGGTGAATAAGTTGCTAGCGGCAGGGTTTATCGAACCTTGCACATACCCCGAATGGTTAGCAAATGTGGTTATGGTGAGGAAGCCGTCAGGGAAATGGAGAATGTGCGTGGATTTTACAGACTTGAACAGAGCCTACCCGAAAGATTGCTATCCCTTGCCGAGGATAGATAGATTGGTAGATTCAACCTCCGGTCACGCGCTATTGAGCTTCATGGACGCTTTCTCCGGATATCATCAGGTCAGCTTATATGAGCCGGATCGAACCAAGGCGGCATTCATTACCGACTCCGGAGTTTTCTGCTACAAGGCTATGCCGTTTGGATTGAGAAATGCAGGGGCTACGTACCAGAAGCTGATCGACAAGGTATTTGCGAACCAGAAAGAAAGAAATGTAGAGGTATATGTGGATGATTCAATTGTGAAAAGCCGTTTGGCTACAGACCACGTCGCTGATTTGAGAGAAACTTTCGAGACACTTCGGCGTTACCGGATGAAGTTAAACCCAGAGAAGTGCGTGTTCGGCGTGCGGTCAGGAAAGTTTCTCGGTTTCATGGTGAGCGAAAGGGGGATAGACGCCAACCCCGATAAGATTGAGGCGATTCTTAGTTTACCAGAACCAAAGTGCATAAAAGATATACAGAGGCTCACTGGTCGAATGGCCGCGTTAACGAGATTCATCAGCAAGTCAGCTGATAAGGCCTTACCGTTCTTTGTGATCTTGCGTCAGAACAAGCTGTTTGAATGGGGGAAGGACCAATCCAAGGCGTTTCAGGCTGTGAAAAATCACTTGAGGTCCTTACCCACCGTTGCAAGGCCAGAACAAGGAGAAATATTACAGCTTTATATCTCCGCGTCGGCAAAGACGGTAGCGGCGATGCTCCTGGTAGAGCGGCAAAAAACACAACTGCCAATTTACTTCGTGAGCCACGTCTTAAATGCTGCCGAGAGAAGGTACCCGTTAGTAGAAAAGATCGCGCAGTAGTTGTGGCCG